GTTTTTTATATTTTAAATAGTAGATGTTTCCGTGGCTAGCATTTTTCTGTGACTGATCGTGCTGTAGTCGAAAATGAATAAAGATCTATTGTTTCCATCTCCAAGATATGAAACAACATCGTCTCAGGGTAAAAAACCCACTGAAATGGCTTTTGTTGAAGTGTTTATAACATCTGGTTGTTGGTGGCTGTATGACGCAGTAGCGGCCAGCACATCATTTGGACTCCATTGAGAGTACTCTGTTATAGCAGGTATTAAAAAAATACGCTCAAGATTCAAAAGTCTTTTGTTGACGTTGAAATCAAAACAGTGAGGTTTGGCTAGAGGGAAATCGGCAGAATAAATTAATGAGCAAGGTAATAGGCAGCTCCCAGAATTTTGAGTAAGAAATTACTTACAACTAATGAAAATTAATTACCTGGAAAACTACATTTCAGCTCCATGACAAAAAGTATAGAATTCTTGATTCTGTATGGGTCCTTGCGTGTGTGTGTGTGTGTGTGTGTGTGTATGTGTGTGTGTGTGTATGTGTGTGTGTATGTGTGTGTGTGTGTGTGTGTGTGTGTGTGTGTGTGTGTGTGTGTGTGTGTTTGTGTTTGTAAGGGAGAGTGTGTCTGGGAGATGTCGTTTGAAAGTTGAAAAAAGTCTGCCTGTAAGTATGCATCTGTGTCAATTTTCTGTGAGAGGCTGATAAGGAAATTTTACAGAAAACTGAACAACAGTTAGTAACAAAAACAGAATGAAAGGTGTTTTAGAGGACAACACGAGGGAATAGCTTAATTAAGTGATCAAGGGAACTGCACATCGCGTGACTTGTTCTCAGGTTTAAAGTAACCCAAACATCTTCACCCATTAATTCTTGACCTAAAAATTTATAACCTTTGGATGCAAATGAAAGGATCCTTTTGAGTTAGGAGGAAGAAAATAATTCTGGGCCATATGGTTTGTGACATTCCTCAATCTCCAACAGTCTACGTCTGCACGATACTGTGAACTTGATCCATTCCGTGGTTTTCCGATGTCTTATCTGTGGGTACATAGCGCTGCTGTTGAGAGCTTGGTTGTGTGGCACAACACATGTTTGTCCTGTGAACCTTTCTGCATTTATGTATTTTGATTGGGCGACGGGCATTCTAACCTTCCAACCTATTGGAGTTGAAATAATCCTTACCGTGTGATTTGGAGTGGTATTTGCACAACGCTACACTTCGAGCAGGAAACAAAAACATGTATTAGTAATGAGATGCTATACAGACTTCTGAATGGAGTTACAAAACATACCGATGAAATAAAACTACTTTGTTTTTTATGTTGGCATCATCGCCTTTTCCCTCTCAGTTTCCACGGGCTTGGGACCGTCTCAGGGTACACTGTACACCGAGGCCTGATTAAAAAGAAGGCGCTACCGAGCGCTCACGTCTGGGGTATGTTAGTTGTTAGTCAGTTTAAGAATGTTAGTGTTATGGGTTGGGTCAGTCAACAAATTGGATGTTAGAAATTAGTACATTTTGCTAATTAAAGTAAGTTATAGCTGCAGTTTGCATTCTAGTGATTTAACGATTGAGTAGTTGTTATTGAAACAGCTGAAAAAAGACAAAACAAAGTAGCCGATTAAACCAAGCGCTGCCCCCACAGTGGCTGGAATAATTTCGGCTCGTTAGTAACACATTAATGAAAACAAAGAAATGCACGTACGAGACAAGACATTTCAGAGTTAGATAAAATGGAAACTTTTTAGTTACTGTGAGACAACTATGTTAGTAAAGTAAAATAGAGAAAATGCTGTGTCCACTTCGTAGGTAGCAGGTCCCCCCTCAGCGGTAGTGAGGGTAACAACTCACCAGCAACATGTGTAAAGTCCTCGTCAACTCCCCATTACTCACATGATGACTTCAGCTGGTGATGTACAGGCCCTGAGCTTGCCTTGGTGTGTCCAAGACACCTGCTTCCTGCCTCATTGAGTTTTCTGTTGGTTAAGACAAACACGAGTGCAAAATATGTGTCGTTGGGTGGACAAATTTGTAAGTAAACTAAAAGTTAAAGTAGTGTAGTACATTTCAAAAACCAAAATAGCAATTCAATTCAATTATTAGGTGAATTAGGTAAACGGAAATGGGTGAAATATAAGAAAACTAGAAACAACTTCAACACCATATTTTGTTAGAAAGTGCTAAAATGGAGAAAGAAGTGAGGAAAAAAAGTATGCAAATACAGCACTTGCACTCGTTACAGAGAGTCTATGATTACCCTGAACTGCTGAAAGCGCTCACGAAGGAATTCCAGGAGATGGCAGACTGAAAGTCGGAGTCGTGGGTTGTTCTGTACAAGCCTGTAGAGCACAAACCTGTGGAGTAAGCAAAAATACTCAGATAAATAATCGGCAACATCAAGTGAAAGCAAGTATTCATATTATGGTCAATGGAAATTTCTGAATATTCTACGTAACAGACTACAAGTATGTATTTTCTTTAAAAAACCAACATATTACTATTTTATTTTTCATTTACAAGGAATCAACAGCACTCATCTAAAAGTAAAGAAAGCTGCATTGGGTTAGGATCCAAAGTAAAGAATGTCTCGTTACCTGAAGAAGCCCAAGAGCGGCATTAGGGTTCTGTCGGATTTCACAGCGTGCAGAAGATCCTCTCCATCGCGAGGTTTTCGTTTGAAGACAAGAAACCACAGCGTTGCTCCAAGTGCGTACGCGTCCGTCTGTAGAGAATAAGTGGAAAAAAGAGTTGGTCAATAGTGAGCAAATGGTTCCAAGCAACAGCATATTGCTGCAGTATACAAAGACCTTCAGGGAGCACACAGAAAAAAAGAAAGGGAAAATACAATTATCTACTAGTACGCAATAGTGACAAACACGATTACACCAGACAAACAAAGAAAGGATGTTATGCATATTATAACCCAATAACAAAAGCCACAGCGCATTTACAATTTTTAAATACAATTACTTGTTTACAACAGAATAAAAACATACAATAAATTTACAGCAGAAACAAAGCCACAAAAACATACCGACAGACAAACAAACAAACCAAACATCAGGACAACTTTTACACAACATTAAACTTAAACAAATCAAACACGCAAATAAACAAGCTCACTAAGTAGAAAACTCTGCAGTTACTCACCAGAAAAGGATCGACGGTGATGTCAGTCTGGATCTCTGGAGCGAGATAGCCTTTTGTTCCGAGTACGTTCTTGCTGCTCACTCTGTTTTGTCCGTGTGCCAGAAGGCGGGACATTCCCAGGTCACCGAGAATAGCGTTGTTGGATTCATCCAGGAATACGTTGGCAGGCTTCACGTCCCCGTGTACAGCCCACCTGTTGTGAAGATATCTCAGTGCACAGGCGGTCTGCACGAAGCAGCGCTCTAACTGCTCCCTGTTGAGACGGTGACGCGCATCATGCAAAGATCCTCGTGAGCACAGAGGCATGCAGATAGCTACAAAGTCCTTGCACTTTACTGCCCAGTCCATCTTCATGATGTGCGGATGCGAAGCGTAGTCCATGAAACTGATTTCGTGAAAAATCTCCAGCCAACTGTCCCGGCCTTGGCAGTCTGTGAGACGTATCTTCTTGATGGCCTTGCGAATGGAGTTGTCGTCTTCCATTGCCGCTTCCAGAACTTGAACCGGCGTGATCGTCTTCTGGCACAGAACGCGCACTTGCCTCATCTTCACGGATGACCAAAAGTCACCAGAAATGAACTTCACCAAAGGAACTGAAAAACTTTCCATACTTAAAAATTCACGACAGATGTTGAGAAACGATACTCAGGCACACTGAAAAAGCAACGACCTCTCACTGTAAAAGCGTTACGGTGAACTGGAGGATGTCCAGGTCTGCTGACTTTATATTCCCTGTTGCTCCTCCCTTTCCCCTATCACCGCCAATCAAAATCCTAGTAAGGTTCATGTCAAATGAAGGATTAACAAAGTGTGAATAGTTGATTATGCGTAGTTGTTATTTACATGGCTAGAGCTTTTGTAACACCGACCGTGCTGTTGTCCAAGACGAATAAAGACCTATTGTTTCCTTCTCCAAGGTGTGAAACAACATCACTGGAGGGTGAAACAACGCTGAAACGGCCTTTGTTGTCCAGTATTCACAACGTCTTCGTGTTGTTGGCTGCATGTTGCAATAGCGGCCAGCGTGTCATAAGGATTCCATTGAGCCAACTCTGCCCTGAGTATCAAAACAAATAAAAACACCCTGAAGCTACACGTGCTTACTAAAATCAACAACCTTTTGTCATCATTGAAATCCAAACAGTGAGGGTATGGGAGAGGGATGTTGGACAATACAGATAATTAAGAGCAAGATAGTGTTCCGATACTATAATCTTGAGCATTAAATTCCTCACAAGAAAAGAAAATACTCACTTTAAAACTACATTTCAAGTTCCATATCTAAAAGCAGAAATCTGTAGATTCTGTGTGGGTGCGTGTGTGTATGCGTATGCTTGAGTGTGTATGTGAGAGAATCGTGTGAGAGACGAGACTGAGAGTGGGTCTGCCTGTGAGTTTGTTTCTCTGTTTATTTTAGTGGTGAAAAAGTGAATTTCACAGAAAACGTAATGCTGGTAAAAATTTTAAAAAACAACAACCTAAC